GATTGTCGATGAGACGGGGGGGCGGAGGGAGGTCGGCCGGAGGGCACAGAGGACTGTCTGTAACTGGCTTGATTTGGGACACGTGGAAGGTGGGATGAATCTTCATGGATGATGGTAGTTGGAGTCTGACAGCTGTGGGATTAATGATGCGGATGATGGGGAATGGTCCAATGAAACGAGGGGCCAACTTACGTGGGGTGTCTCGCAGTTGAATATGGCACGTGGAGAGCCACACCCTTTGTCCAACCCTGTAGGATGGGGCTGCGGAGCGATGACGGTCTGCAAGGGCCTTGTTCTGCGTGGCTGTACGGAGCAGGGCGAGTTTGGTCTGGCGCCAAACCCGACGACAACGTCGAAAATGGTGTTGGACGGACGGGACCGCAATATCCCCTTCTTGGCTTGGAAACAGAGGAGGGGCATAACCTAAAGATGCCTCAAAAGGAGACATGCCTGTAGCGGATGATGTATGCGTGTTGTGAGCATACTCAATCCATACCAGATGTTGGCTCCATGAGGACGGATTGTCCTCCACAACACATCGAAGGGCAGTCTCCAGTTCCTGATTGGTCCGTTCGGCTTGCCCGTTGGATTGGGGGTGGTACCCAGATGTCAAGCTGACAGAGGCCCCTAGAGAATTACAAAAAGACTTCCATACCTGGGATATGAACTGGGGACCTCTGTCAGAAACCACATCGGACGGAATGCCGTGAACCCTGAAGACATGTTGGACCAACAGTTGGGCCGTTTCGAACGCCGAAGGAAGTTTTGAAAGGGGAACGAAATGAGCTGCCTTCGAAAACCTGTCAATCACAGTGAGGATAACGGTGTTGCCATCAGAAGGGGGCAGACCGGTAACAAAATCGAGAGAGATGTGCGACCATGGACGACTAGGAGTGGGCAGAGGCAGCAGCTTACCAGCAGGTGGCCGGTGACCAGTCTTATTTCTGGCACAGGTGGGGCAAGCGGCAACATAACTCTTAATGTCAGCATTTAAGGTAGGCCACCAGAAGTGTCTCTTAGTCAAGGAAATCATACGTGCAAGACCCGGGTGACATGAGAACTTGTGTGTGTGGAGCCAGTCGAGGACCTTCGCTGTGATACTAGCAGGAACGAACATAGTACCAGCGGGGCCTGTTCCTGGGTCAGGGTCTGACCTCTGAGCTTCCAGGATATCCCGTTCGATGGACCAGGTGAGAGTGCCAACCACACAGGATGATGGTAGTACGTTTGGTTCCTGTGTGGTGTCCTCCGGTGGTGAGAACTGTCGTGAGAGAGCGTCGGGCTTCGTATTCTTGGATCCGGGTCTGAAAGTCAGTGTAAAATTGAATCTTGTAAAAAATAAAGACCATCTTGCCTGTCTTGGGTTCAACCGTCTGGCATCGCGAAGGTACGTGAGGTTTTTGTGGTCCGTCCAAATGAGAAATGGAGTGTCCGTGCCCTCCAACCAATGTCTCCATTCTTCCAGGGCCAGTTTCACGGCCAGAAGCTCACGGTTCCCTACGTCGTAGTTCTTTTCTGCGGGGGAAAGGCGCCGAGAGAAAAACGCACAGGGATGTACCTTGTTATCAGGAGATGCTCTCTGCAATAGGACAGCTCCTACTCCAGTGTCGGATGCATCCACCTCCAGGATGAATTGTTTCTTGGGATCTGGGTGACACAATACAGGGGTAGATGAAAAAAGCGTTTTAAGCTCACCAAAAGCCTTGTCCGCCTCCTGAGTCCACTTAAAAGTTCTAAGAGTAGACGTTAATTGTGTGAGGGGGGCAGCGATCCTGCTATAGTTCTTAATAAAGCGGCGGTAGAAATTGGCGAAGCCCAGGAATCGCTGAAGTTGTTTCCTCGTTTCCGGCGTTGGCCACTCCACCACTGCCTTAGTCTTTTCTGGGTCTGTGCGGTAGTGTCCCCCTTCAAAAATGAAGCCCAAAAATGGAACAGACTTTGCATGAAATTCACATTTCTCTGCTTTGACATAAAGTTGGTTCTCGTAGAGACGTTGGAGAACCGTTCTGACATGATGAACATGTTGTTCCTCATCTTGTGAGTATATAAGGATGTCGTCCAAATACACAAAAAGGAACTTGTTCAAAAAATCTCTCAGAACGTCATTAACTAGAGCCTGAAATATTGCGGGGGCGTTAGTGAGGCCAAAAGGCATAACAAGGTACTCAAAATGTCCTAAGGGAGTCTTAAATGCCGTCTTCCATTCGTCACCCTCCCGTATACGGACGAGATGATAAGCGTTACGGAGATCTAATTTAGAGAATATCTTAGCGTGGTGTAACTGCTCATGGATGGAGTCGATGAGGGGTAGCGGATATTTGTTTTTTATAGTAATTTGATTTAATCCTCTGTAGTCGATGCAAGGGCGCAAGGTCTTATCCTTTTTAGCCACGAAGAAGAACCCTGCTCCAACTGGAGAGGTAGAGGGGCGAATTATACCTGAGTCTAAGGATTCCGAAATGTACTCCTGCATGGAGTCTCGTTCAGGACCAGAAAGATTATACAGGCGACTAGAGGGAAGAGGTGCCCCTGGTAACAGCTCGATAGCACAGTCATAAGGTCGATGTGCAGGTAAGGATGAGGCCTTTAGTTTACTAAACACAGGAGCTAAGTCATGGTACATCTTAGGAATCTTAGACAAATCAATAGACTCAGAAGAATTGCTGCGTTTTAATGTGGAAGGAATTGCAGTTCTTAAACAGTTCATGAGGCATTGTGGGCTCCATTGTTCTATTCTTTTTAATCTCCAATTAATGACTGGGTTATGTTTGTTCAGCCAAGGGAAACCTAAAATGAGCTGAGATACATGAGATTGAAAAACAAAAAACTCACAATATTCGTGATGGTTCCCGGAGATCATGAGGTGCAGGGGCCCGGTCTTAGTGTGGATGGAGGCGAGTTTTTGTCCAGTGAGGCCCTCCATAGATAAAGGCGTGGAAAGGGTCTGAGTGGGGATGGATAGGAGATCCACTAGGTCTTGGCTGATGAGGTTCTGTTCTGCTCCGGAATCCACCAGGGCGGCAACAGACTTCTTTTCAAGACCCACGATGATGGTAGTGTTGATCTCCAGACGAGAAACAGGAGAAGAAGAAGTAGTAGTTCTCACCAATATCTCCTGCTTTATTGGTGAGATGTGTCGTTTCCCAACAACGGGCATTGAGCAATAAAATGTCCTTGTTGGCCACAATAAATGCACGCTCTGTGTCTTCTCCTCCTCTGTTTCTCCTCGGCGGACAGACGAGTGTGGCCCAACTGCATAGGTTCCGGTTCAATATTGGTCTTCTTCTCCAGCGCCCGTGTTGGAGTTGATCTAGGTGTCCAGTTGAACCCGGAAGCAGTGGTACCCTGGGAAATGTAGTCACCTTGATAAGACGTTGGGCGACGTCGTGACGTATGCGAAGAGCCGGAAGTTGTGGCATGCTGGGAATCGTAGTCTCTCTCCCATCTACGTTCTTGAAGTTGGTTATCGATGCGGGTGGCGAGGTGGATTAGCTCATCCAAACTTAGAGGCTCCTCTTGCGTAGCTAAGCGATCCTTTATGGAGTCAGAGAGCGAGTGGAGGAAAATACCTTGAAGAGCGCTCTCTCCCCATCCGGTTCGGGCGGCGGTGATTCGAAACTCCAAAGCGTGTGCTGTTACCGATCGCCAGCCCTGACGAAGGGTGAGTAGCCTCTTAACTGCTTCAGACTTCTGGAGGGGTTGATCGAATACTCGCACGAAGTCTTCTAAAAAGGAGGAGAAGGTTAGTGTGTCGAGCTGATGAGCTGATAAGTGAGCCTGAGCCCAACGTAGTGCGTCTCCCTTTAATTGGGTAATGAAAAACGATATCTTGGCTGAATCTAGCAAAAAACGACTGGGTGCACTCTGAAAAGTGAGCCTACATTGCAGAACAAAGCCCCCACATAGTTCAGGGTTCCCATCAAATAATTCAGCAGGCTTTAAATTTTGCTCCACAGCGGTTGGTTGAGGAAAGACATGAGTGGGGGAACTAACCTCTGGAGTAGATGTTGTAGCTGGTGGTAGCAGCTGGGTCATCCCTTGTTTGACAGAGAACATCATATTGCCCAGTTCTTGTAAGTTAGATTGGTTAGTCTGCTGTAATGCTACTAAACGCTCGAGAGTTGCTTCATTCCTTTCTACTCTCTGCAACATTGTCTGGAACGTGAGTTGACTCTGCTCAGCTCCTGAATCCTTCGTGGGTACTTGGTGTGGCTGGGACATTCTGTTATGACCGAGGTTGTACCCAGGATGAAGGACCAGAAAACTGAACAGAGACCAGGACTCGAAATACCAAAAAACAGTGTTTATTTACAAAAGGTGATAATAAAGGTGATGACGTCTCTGTACAAGTGTCGGGAAATATTTACAATATATATATATACAGGATCACCTGAGGGGCAGAGGAAGAGGTTAGGGGAAACGCAGGAGGGACTGGAGTAATCTGTGAGGGATCTTTCTTACGTGACGAGAGGTTGAATAGGAAGGGTCCAAAATACGAATCCAGGTTGGAGTGGCAAGTGGTGGAAGGCAAAAAGGCAGCTGCAGGATCACAGGAGGGATTGAGGAGGAACTCAGGAGACTCAGGCAGGTCCGATGACAACACGAAAAACAGGAAGGCTCTGAGAATGCAGAGGAAGACAAAACTTTAGTATAATCACTAGAGAACGCAGTTTGCTGGCTAGAACATCTACTACCGTTGGCAGGCAATGTCCCAGCGCCTGTAGAGTGGCTTCTGAGTCTTCTTATACTCCTCCTCAGGTGTGGTGCTGATCAGCTGCAGCTGCTGGTGATTAAGGAGCTTGAGGAGAGAGAGAAGTGCAGGGCAGGATCCCAACAGGAGCGTTGATAACAACTTGGGCTGTCCTTGTCCTCTCTGGTCCGGATGACATGGCGTCCCAGTGTTCCATAAAGAACTTCAAATGGTGACTCATCTGACCACAGAACGGTCTTCCATTTTGCCACACTCCATTTTAAATGACCCCTGGCCCAGTGCAAACGTCTGAGCTTGTGGAGCTTGCTTAGAAATGGCTTCCTCTTTGCACTGTAGAGTTTCAGCTGGCAACGGCGGATGGCACGGTGGATTGTGTTCACTGACAATGCTTTCTGGAAGTATTCCTGAGCCCATTCTGTTATTTCCTTGACAGTGGCATTCCTGTTTGAGGTGCAGTGACGTTTAAGGGCCCGGAGATCACGAGCATCCAGTAGAGTTTTACGGCCTTGACCCTTACGCACAGCGATTGTTTCAGATTCTCTGAATCTTTTGATGATGTTATGCACGGTTGATGATGATAACTTAAAAGTCTTTGCTATTTTACGCTGGGTAACACCATTCTGGTATTGCTGCACTATCTTTCTGTGCAACAATGGTGGAATTGGTGATCCTCTTACCATCTTGGCTTCTGAGAGACACTGACACTCTGAGAAGCTCTTTTTATACCCAATCATGTTGTCAATTGACCTAATTAGTGTTAATTGGGCTTCCAGCTGTTCGTTATATGCTCAATTTCCTTTTTCCAGCCACTTATTGCTACTTGTCCCAACTTTTTTGGGATTTGTTGACACTGTGAAATTTTGAATCAACATATTTTTCCTTTAAAATGTTACATTTACTCAGATTAAACTTTTGATCTGTCATCTATGTTATATTACGAATAAAATATTGACATTTGCCATCTCCACATCATTGCATTCAGTTTTTATTCACAATTTGTTTAGTGTCCCAACTTTTTTTTGGAATCCGATTTGTAGAATTAGATGTTTGTGTTGCATCTGTCAGTTTGTTCATTTAGATATAATTTTGTTCTTTTTATTGTAGATGTGTTGTTCATGTTGTTGTTTGTGTTCATCTGTTGTAGTTTGTGTTGACATTGTTGTTGACATGATGTTGTTTGTGTTGACGTTGTTGTTGACCTGTTGTTTATGTTCACATGTTGTTGTTGACATAATGTTGTTTTTTAAACGTTGTTGACATGTTTGTGTTCACATTTTGTTTGTGTTCACATGTTGTTTTTGACCTTTTGTTTGTGTTTGCATGTTGTTGTTGTTGACCTGTTTTTGTTTGTGTTTGCTTGTTGTTGTTGTTGACATGATGTTGCTTGTGTTCACATTGTTATTGACATGATGTTTGTGTTGATATTGTTGTTGAAATGGTGTTTTTTGTGTTGACATGTTGTTGACTTGTTGTTTATGTTCACATGTTGGTGTTGAAATGTTGTTGTTTGTGTTCACATGCTGTTGACATGTTGTTTGTGTTCACATGTTGTTGTTGACTGTGTTCGCATATTGTTGTTGACATGTTGTTTGTATTCACATGTTGTTTGTGTTCACATGTTGTTGACAACATGGTTGTTCACTTGTTGTTGTTGGCATGTGTCTTCACATGTTGTTGACATGTTTGTCTACATGTTGTTGTTGACATGCTGTTTGTATTCACATGTTGTTGACATGTTGTTTGTGTTCACATGTTGTTGACATGTTGTTTGTGTTCACATGTTGTTGACATGTTGTTTGTGTTCATATGTTGTTGTTGACATGTTTTGTGTTCACATGTTGTTGACATGTTGTTTGTGTTCACATGTTGTTCCCATCTTGTTTGTGATCATATGTTGTTGATATGTTGTTGTTTGTATTCACATGTAATTGACATGTTGTTGTTTGTGTTCATGTGTTGTTGTTGACAT